TTTTTCCTCGTCAATATTTTTTAGCGCGTTTAAGTTAAATCTGTAATCATCACCAAGCATGATGTCAACATAAAAGGTTACCATACTCCTTTATTATTCAAATACTAACATAAAAAAATTGTTTTAGGCATCGCTACATGAGTCATTACTCAAGTTGTCATGTTTTGATAAACATGCGGTGTTGAAAGGAAAGTATAATAAATAATGATTCGCTAGGTTGGCGTCACATCAACGATGTAGCCATGTGGAATGTTTCGGTTTGAGATGTGTGCCAAGCAGATACGCAGCAATGGAGCCAAATTACTGATTGTACAAATTTATGCTAAAATGATTATTTCTTCAATAACAAGGTGTTTTATTTAGTGTCGTAGCGAAATTAAAAATCGGGATTCTACAGATGTTTTATTATGCGCGGAGGGGGAAATCAAATGCGCATACATACATAAGCCTAAAAGAAAAACATTGATGGTGGTTTTGAAGTCCGGATTTTAGATCATTCCGATAATGGACACTGGATTTCGGACTTTGTACTGTATATTTCCCATGCCTTTCGGCTAGAGGGTGCTGTGTATGCTCCATTAGCTAAGGGCACTCCATTAAGATGTTAAAGGTGCAAGACATGGAAGGCAGAGATGCCTAATAATATAGCTTCAACTATTTGAAATTGTTATATTTTCTTGTAAATAAATTTTGTTGTTTGCAAAAACCTCTCTGGATGCATCATTAGATGGTGGTGTGGTGGTGTATTTAATTATGGCAAAGCAAACTAGGGCTAACTGCCTAAAGGGTGGGATGCCTTCGTGGAGGACTTTCTAAGGGAAACTGGCTCGTATACATGTTACACATGGGGAAAACCACGAAAACACCCATGCAGCCAGCCCGTTCACGGGATTCAAACCTTGGACCGAACTACCAGTGTTCAGCAACTTTACCGCTTGGCCACTTGGGCCTGGATGCACCATTAGAAGCTTTGAATCATTAGATGCAAAACCATGGAATTTGAGCTTGGAGATTTTCTTTCACAGTAGCCATTATTATAAAAAGCGTTAATAAAACCTTCATAATTCCAGATGTATGTCCAAAACATTATAGTCTGACATGTAGAATAATGACCAAAATGCTGCCTAGACGGTATAGTGGTTAGGGAAACCTGACTGCGATACCAAAGAACCTGGGTTAGAATCCCGGAGAAGACATGGTTGTAACTGCATGTCCCTTCATAGAAAGCGATGGTGGTTCACCTATTAGGTACCTTCATAATAAAGAGACCACCACATTAGGCCTTGTATAGAATAATGGACTGTGTTACACTGTAACTGTTCACAATCTGCCATTGGAAAAAAAAAAGTAATGACAAAAATTTGAAAGTTATCGCACCCCCCAAAAAAAAGGAAAAAAAAATGAACACAAAATATTTAATAATTACTAAACATAATATGCATATTTTCTAAATTTCTCAAGGTAGTTCAGTCCGAGGTTCGAATCCCGCGAACGGGCTGGCTGCATGGGTGTTTTCGTGGTTTTCCCCATGTGTAACGTGTATACGACCCAGTTTCCCTTAGAAAGTCCTCCACGAAAGGCATCCCTCCCCTTAGGCAGATAGCCTTAGTGTGCTTTGCCGTAATTAAATACACCAACACCAACACCTAAATTTCTCAAAGTTCCTTTTGTTTAAATTTTTTAGTAATTCACAACATTTGATTTTCTTTTGGTTTTGAATTTTACTATATCCATGCCTATATAGATGATGAAACACAAATTGAGTAATTGAAGAGTTAGGTTTGGAGGCAACTTCCCCTTGATAAGATCTGTCTCTTGCCTGCTCAACAACAACTAATGTATATTAATTTTGTCTTAAAAAAAATTTTTTTTAATTAACACATTCACCGTGGCGCCGGTACCTTGGGACCAGCAGTGAACTTTCCGTGTGGCCGGCATTGGTCCTTGGGGACCGGCACTGGAATTTTTGTTTGGCTGGCATCGCTCTGCGGGACCAACATTATTAAAGTTAAAAAATAAATATAGTTTCAATGAAATGTTATCGATCAAATTTAGTTTTAATGAAATGTATTGAAACATTCTAAACAAAAATGCGGCTTAGCTCGCTGTCGGCTGAACGGAAAGGACAGCAAATTTGGCACCGCGCTCAACGTGTTAATTAAAAATTTATTTATTTAAAAAAATTTTTGGAATATTATATATTTATTCATGGTTTTAGATACTTGCACTTAATTTAGATATGCTCTCACAATTTAAATGATATTGTAAAATAATTCGCAGCAATAATTAATCATTTATTTGTATGTAATCAAAATTTCATGATTTAAAAATTTTAATTTTGATTAACGTTAAATTTGCTTTATACGAATAGAGAATGTTTCTTAAATTTATATATATATATATACATATATAATTTTAAATAAATAAAAAAATTTTAATGTAGATAATTTTGTCTACACTTTTATCACCAAAATCACATATTCAGAGAAATGTTATATGAAATTTAAGATGTGCAAAGACTTCAAGTAGTACATAAAAATAACACCTTGCTTCCCAACACTTCCAGTTTTGTGTCATGCACGCCTAAACTATGGATTTTGAATAATCATGGAAGAATTTATAACAAGCAATAATTTCAGATTTATTCTCAAACATTTTAAATATTCTCATTTACACCAAACAAACAATAATTGTATAACATAATTATTAAGATCAGAGAACACTAATTTTGAAATGAATGCTTATATATTTTTAAAATAGCTATCAGTTTATTTCCCTTTCATCTGTCATACAAATATTTATGCATGCTTTTTGTTTATATTTTTATTAAGTATTTATATTTTCAAATATACAGTACAAAAACATTTATGAGAATTTAAACTTCATAAATTTATTCTAGATATAATGAAAACATACACCCATTCTTTAATTCTATTGGAAGGTGTAATCAAATACTGCAAGCAATTTTTTTACCAAGGAAGTATGCCGACACATTTCTTTACTTATCTGCAAATTAAATTAGCTTTCTTTTCAATTTAAAATTATACTATTTTAGACTCTAAAGAAATTTGTATGCAACTCTAAAACTTTTCAAATATGGCATTGAAATACAAAGATGAATTTCTTGAAAGCACCTAATTAAGAATTCTATTCAGATAATGACAAAATTCTGGCATGTTTATGTACCATTTATGTACATACTTTAAACGTTTGGATGATATTTGTCATGAATATAGATAACATATACAAATGATAAAACGATTATTCCAAAAATATAGTTGCACTAATTTATCACTAAACTAAATGATTAAATTCGAATTACCATTTATGTATACATTTCATATATCACAACTTAAATGGAACCAACTGACAACAGACCTTTAAATTAATAAATTTTAATTAAATACATAATGATATGCTTTGCAACATTTTTTGTTACTTTGCAGCATGTATTTGCAACTTGACATACAAAAATAGCCAATTATCCTCAAAATAAATGATAGCATAATTTTATTTGTCTCATATCTTAATCAGTAGAAAAGAACTTTTTCATTATTTTACAATATAATAGCTACATTTATCATTTAGAAGCACAATATTAGATAAAAAATACAAGAAACTCTTCATATAATTCTTCATGCATATAAATATATTGATAATGTGAAAGCATACTTTGATACTTGTTTGTTAGCAGAAGGATAGCAAATGACTTATAAGCTCAAGTCTACTCATGTTGTTGAGCCTTATAATTATATTACACAACCTTGTAATTATACAGAAAACATTGCAAAAACAAACAAGACACGTGAAATTGCACCATAATAGATTGTAAAAAATCAGTACTTTTCCGTTTCGCTGCCGCAAATCTCGCCAAGCAGACTTTGTTGGTGACAGCATACAGTACACACATAAAAAATGTTAACAAATGTTAGTTCTAATAATTTTTTATTTTGAACGCATAAATATTTTAATATGGTTTAAAATTTTGTTAAAAGCCAATAAATAAATAAATATAATAAATTTGTAAAAAGACATTAATTTAAGAATGGTTTAACATCCTGATTTGCTTTCATGGTTCAACATCCTGATTTGCCAGTTCGTATCATGTGACCCCCAAGTGATCTTATCTCATGTAAACTACGCTACGAAAATCTAATTCTCTCAGTAATTATCTACATTAATTTCAAGTTAAATCTTAAATTTTATGAAATACAAGTTTAAATGCAAGAATTATTTCAATTTGTACGAATAGCTAACTCATAAATTATGTAAAACCGCAGTGCTTTACTTCGCTAGTGCATTCTCATTAGATTTGATGAATTTAATGCTTGATTTTGCCTTTTCTATGTTTTCGCCTTCGAGTGAGTGGTGTGATTGCATCCTAATTAATTACCACGAATGGTCTTAGGGCATAAAATTTAACTAGTAAAAATTATATGTAATTGAATGCCAGTATTGAAAGAAACAATCAATCTGATAAATGGCTGCGACTTGTTTTGAAAATGAAGGGTAAAAGGTTACCAGCAAAGATATTTCATTTGGCATCAGTTGTACCATTATTGGTAACTTTATTGTTTGTGCCGGCAAAACGAAAAAGTACCTAAAAACCATATGCATGAAGTGTGCACACAATCTTAAAAATTCAAATTTAATAATTTTAAATATAAATATAATGCCAATAATTATCTTCTTAAATAAAAATAACAGTTGTTGCCAGCTCCCAAAACTAAATTTTCATTATTGAATAAAATTTAAACTCGATTGAAACGGAATTTCAATTTTAAAATCTTCAACAGTTGTTTTTATAGCATCATGTATAAAAGAAATTGTCACAATTAAAAAAAATAATAATTACATGTAAATACTTACAGAAAGCAAGAATATTGTAATCTGTACATTTGCTACAAAATTTTATCCTCGGTATTGGCTTTCATTCTGAATGCAAACAATAGTGTAAAAAGTAGAGTTAGAAATACGACCATCAATAAATGACAGTACTATTACTAGAAATACATTTTATTTATCACACTTACAGTGTAAGATTGTAATTTCCAAATTAAGGAGTTCAGATAAAATAGCTTACTAAATAACTTACTTTCATACACTGAGGATCAAGATATTTTATCATACTGAAAGTACATAAAAGGATACTACATATTATTTATTATTCTGAAAAAAATGTGCTCAAATATTTCTGAACTTTATTTGCAATGGTCAAGATTTTATTGTTTGCCTAACACGTCTCTGAGGTGTTAAAAAAAAAGAGGTGGTCCTAATTTGATTGTCAAAGTAGACAAAAGTTAGTTTACTAAATGTAAAATGTTAGTTACTTATGTTCTTATGTAGCAATAGATATTCAGTATTCTGCCACTAACAAATGCTTTCTTCTTCAAGTACCAAATTATTCATATGAAGGATCTCTAATACATTCATAGTCTTGAAAATCTGCATTATGGAGTTACAAATAGTTGGATTTCAACATTCTAAAATCAACCAAGTACAGTTTCTCAGACCCTGAAAGCAGCTGCTGACCAAATATGGCACTCTTATTTTTTATTATGTTTAAGCATGGTGCATTATTTATCAATTTATTCCATTTCAGCTCTTAAAATTATTTTTCACCAGGCTAATAAACAAGTGCACATTGTTTTTGTATGTAAGGATAACTTGAAAAACATTTACAGTCATTTTAGGTCCCTCTTCATCAGGAGCAAAAATTTTCTTTGCTCCTGATGAAGAGGACCTGTACCTGTTTGCCCTTGAGAATGATTGAGTTCCTGACTAAATCTACTCCTTACACAAGGTCCTTGCTTTGCTAATATTTCATATATAGCCATTATTAAATTATACTAAAAAATGCCTATAAATTTTTGGAATAGTTTAGGTAACTGAGATGCTCATTTATAAACCAAATTAAACAATAGAATTAATTGCATACAACAGCCTGAATTAAGCTGAAAAAGATTTCTATACTCAACTTGAGACATTCATATTTAATAATACTTTGTACCTGTGTCAAGTTTCAGCTTAACAATTATAGACATAGTAGTTCTTTAAATATATCACAATAGATTTTAAAATAAAATATCAAATCAATTTAAAAGAGATGCAGAATTAAAGAAACAAAATCACTTATAGCCATTATTCAAATTTACAGAAAAATTACACAACTTTTTGACATAGTGTGAGTAGATGAGACTTTTCATTTATAAACCAAATTAAATCATTCTCATTTCTCTTTCTATAGTAAATATAATATTTATCAAAATTACTATCATTTTTAAGAAAATAACTGAAACTCTAATTTAAAAGCATTACTGCAGAATTTAGTCTTGTATTTGACATTTCAAGTAAGAATATAATTAAAAATAATCAACAGGTAAAAAGTGAATTTCTATCATATAGATTAATTGTGGTGTAGCAAGAAAATAAATAATTCTGCACAAAAACTCTGTTTTCAGCATAACTACATACATCAATTGGCATGAATATCTAAATCTATCCATATATATATCACAACATTATAATACATCTAAAATTCAAAATATATTAACAAAATCTTTAAACAAGTGCACAACATACTGATCTAGAATAAAATGGCTTTAAAATTTTCTATAAAATACTCCCTTCACAAAAGTATTAAAATGGAAAAATGTATCTCAAAATTTACTAATCTATATTCAGAACAGGAAAAAACATTTTCTTATTTACATTGCATTCACGAAAATATAATTTTTCATATGAAAATATTAAACAAGTGCTGTTATAACAGATAATTCAGCAATCTCAGCAAATTTCTATGTTAATGAAAAGTATGTAGCAAAAGAATGAAAAGTATGTAGCAAAGAATACAAAACTGATTTATAAAGCATAACAGAAAGCAGAACAGATTTTTCTCATATTTATCTAATTTCTAAAACTTCAGGATTGTGAAAACAAACTTAGCTGCCACTATATAATTCTATATAAGTTTACACTAATATTATAATTTCTTATTACAAATCCCATCTGCAATGCAAGTAAGTTATACACTGCACAAAAAATCCAGAGAAAATTCAAACTTAACTTTTAAATTTATTAAAATGAATTAGAAAAGAATTTTCTTTTTAGCCATAATTTCAAGATTACAATATTTAATACTAAAAATATCTTTACAGAAACTGAAATAAAAACTATATAACTTTTTAATAATTTTATTAATGCACTATAGTAAGTAGAAAATAATGTATTTTCATATTTTGTAGTTTCTTTCTCATTCACATTTTACTCGGGATATTTAACAAATAGAAGTCATGATTTAAAATAGAAATCATCAACATGCACTACTTTTATCAAAACAACATTTATCATGAAATAAATATTACCTCAAAGAACTGATCACAGACAACTTTTGGATTTTAATTCTAACTCCATTACAAAATGCAAGAAAATATTTATGGATGGCTTACAGAACATGATTCTGATGCTGAAGGACAACCTGGATATTCTTTTAAATCTGGATGATCTAGATCCCCACGATCAGCATGGGTTTTTGAATCAGATGAAGAAGAAGGTGGGCCATAGTTCTTTACACAAATACATCGAGGATCCTTGCCTTTTATATGAAGTTCTCTGGGAACTCCAACCCAATTTCGTTCAACACCTCCACTATAAGAAAATATATATCATTTAATATTTAGATATTCTTTTTTAGACTGCATTCTAAAAAATATCATTTTTATATGAAAATGTTAAACAAGTACTCCAGCAATATATATAATATCAATTAATATTTAGATATTTTTTAGAATGAATTCTTTGATAAAAAAATATGCCCAATATTTCTCAAAAACATTGTATATTACCCCCAGTTAATGAAAGACATAAGTACAGTACAACTTCAAATATGTGGGTCAGATTGGGATTAATACTGCCAAGGTTTTCAAAATATTGCCCTTTTTTTACAGTTTAAATATGCATTCACTAAAATGCACATTAGATTTTTTTCACTTTTTGGAATAACATTTTATTCCTACAAAGAATATGAATGGTGACAAACTCAATTTTGTATTTATGTGAAACAAAGCATAAAATCCATTTTACAACATTATTAAATGACAAAATTATTATTTGCTTTTATAAAATACAAGTATCTTCTTTTTAAAATTAAATAAAGTAATGAAATCAATTTTTATTTACACTTGGCTCTCAAATGAAAAATTCTGCTTTCACTTCTAATGCATAATTTAATAAAAAAAATATTTTTATTTGCATAAAAGACAATGAATAACCTAATTTTATTCAATTAAAACTAAAGTATAATACTTCTTTACTGATGCAAAGCAATAATAATAGTAATATAAAGTGTAGTAAGTTATAATCTAATCAGGCTAGATATAAATTATGGAATTAGTGGAAAAAAATAATTGTTTTTCCATTAATGCAAATTTAAGCTAATGTAATTTGCTAGTATACATACTAATGTTATAAATGTAACTAGTAAACATGCTAATATACTAGCTATGTTGCTAATATACATGCTAATTTTATTTTTTATGTTATAAAGCTATATACTGTGTGGTTAGGCTAATGCTTTATGCAAATCAATGAATCAAACAGTTGCTGTAAATAGGGTGTCAGAACCTGCTCTTTTGGCATAGTGGTAAGGCTGCCAGCTGCCTTTAGATCTGCTATCCATGGAATCCAGAATAAGGCATGGACGTTCATAAATATATAATGCTCTTATGACATGAGACATGAAGACCTTTAAAATACTGTTAAGGAGAAAGTCCTCTTGAGAAGAAGGTACTAGGAAAGAGGGGTAACAGACTATAGAAAATTCTCCATCAAAAATGGAACAGAGCTTCTCTTTTCTCACAGGTTTTTCAGATACAATTTGGTCACCATTATGGTGCACCCTGGAATGTTCAACCATTTAGAACAACTTTTCCACTTGAAATAATTTAATATCATTTCAAAGAAAATATATGTATTGATTTATATTTTATATTATTTAAATGAACAACAAAATTAATACAAATAAATTAACCATAAGCTTAATTTTACTCAATCTAGAAACAAGAACAAGAGGCCCAAGTAATCGAATTCTCCTCTATTCTATTACTCAACCCAGTTTATAGAAAGAGTTCTTCTTATAATACCAAAAGAAGATATCTCTTATTTTCTAACCAACTACAGGAAATGTGCTAATTTAATATAATATAAATATCTAAATAAAATTTTAAACAATAAGAGATAAACGAATAATCTATATCCTAATTTACAAAATAAAAATACCCTTGTACAGATTCACACTTCATTATCTGAGTAATTTCATCCAATTTTAAAATTAAAAAACTACAAATATAAAAAATTCAATCATAATACACTAAATGAGGTAGTTACATATTATTCCATTGACCCTGAAACATGGTTACCATCGAACCATGAAAGCTGACAAAGATTCTACAAAAGTTACGCCAATTATTTCTGGGGAATCCTGACCTGCACTTCCATCTGCAAGTCTTACAGCAATACATTTGGCAGTCTCTTTGCACAAGCTACCAAATAGCCACTATTATGGAAGTATTCTACCTACTTCATTAAGAAGTATTCATCTAATTTCGGCTATTTTCCTATGCTTTCCAATTTTGCTAGGGGCTCTGTTTAGAATGCTACGAGTACAAACATCCTTCAGGTGCTGTTTCAGATTATTACTGTTTCATCGACCATATCCAGCTGTTGTGTTCTCATTCAACAGATGTTAATTCTCTAATTGTAAATGAATTTTAAGTATATCACAGATACTACAATGCTCGAACTCATTTTTTTTTTCAAAGTGTTAGGACAAAATACAGCAGTAATAATTAATTTATAACCTTGTTCAGAAAAAAACAAAAGATGGCTTATTGAAAATCAATCAGGGTTACATCAAATGAGAGTGCAGATATTATGTCTTGTGAGGTCATGCTTATCCATAATTGGTGCAAAATCCCACTGCTTGGCAAAAGTTTCATGGCCGACACAATAATACACAAGTACTTAAATGATTTTTAAGAAACAAAAGCTTTTCAATGCAAGTAAACTTTAGAGGAAATGCAACACTAAGAACTAAGATGCTGTTGACTTAACATCCAGAAGGGGATGAGCCTTACTTGAAATAAATCAATATACTAATAATAATAATAAATTGTCTTGCATAAATTATAAATATGACAAGTGATGACTGGCATCAACTTAAATCTACCTTAGTACTCTAACTTAGAAATTAACAGAAGCAGTAGCTTGATCTAGTGGCTGAAAATGAATCCACAATAATAAAAGTTAGCAAAGTAATTTCATCAAGAACATCAATTCAGATTTTGTCTCTGAATTTAAAAAGAAATCAACATAACACAAAATACTCCATTAAACAAACTGAAACAGTAATGGGTTCATGAAATCACTTGTCAATTTATCATAAATAAAAGTTAGCCATGGAAACCCTTTCATCAAATAGAGTCTTCAAATCTGTGTCAAATAAAAATCAATCACCCTATAACAGAGAAGAGCAAAACTTTCGGAAAGTCAGATTATGCACCACTACTCCTGCTGCCAGAAAGTCTGGTGATGCACCACTGCAACCAGCAACATGGCCAGTTTAAAAAGTGTAGCTTAATTAAGACTTTCGTAATCACTTCGAAATCAACTCTCAGCATGTAAATACATTACTTTTCTAATAGTATGGTTATAAAACTTAAAACAACTGTATTAAATTAAATTACTTACTTGTAAATTCAATACAGATTTAAACGAGATATCACTTTTAATTTGATTCAAGAAAAGAAATCTTTTACAGCATAAACACAGAAAAAATCAGCTTTTCTTCATACCATGGGTAGTTTTGCTTCATTGCTACTTGCTGATGGAGCTACTGTCCATTGGTTAATTCTGATATAATACAGTTCTTAAATACAACTACATGAACATAATAAATCCTCACTAATTCATGTTTACTAGGATTAGAAAAACTGTCAAATTATCAAAAAGTTTGAATTATTGAAAGCATTTCAATTCAGTTTTTCCCCATATGTAAGGTGGAAACAGGCCAATTCCAATAGAAAGTCTTCCACAAAAGCATCCCTTTCCTTAGGCATATAATTCTTGTGTGCTTCACCATAATCACATAAAGCAAACCAACCAATACAGCTAATGAAAGAGAGGTAGGTGAGGACATGTTATAGCGAGCTATGATTACAAGCGAGAGCAGGAATGCAACATGATGAACAGTTGATTCAGAATGATTTAGGTTCAGTTTAATTGATTTTGAGTTTCAGTCCCAAATCTGATATTATTATTGTCCGAAGTAAAATGCAAGTGCCTGCATCATTAGCATTAAACAAGAATCATATGATATGGATGAATTTCAAAGCGATGCAGTTTAGAGTGATTTATTATAACCAGTTTACTGCTTTTTTAGGATGAAAAAAAAAAAAAAGAAATAACGAAGTGAACAGGAGAGTAAAGAGATTATTGGAAATTAAAGTAGTTTGATTTTCAAATTTTTTATCTTATGTATTTTTATTTTATTTAATTTACTTCTTAACTAGTTTTTCAGTTTCTTAATAGTTTTTAAATTTCTATTTTCCAGTCTATTCTTTCTTTACATTTTAAAGTTGAATTTAAAGTTTTCACTAAAAGAAATTAAAAAATTACACAAATCTGGCATTGTGCACTAGCCAACAACAAATAAAACAAACAACTGTTGTAAATGACACACTTCAAACTAATTTCCAACTCCCGTTTGAACACTTTGCTTGCAATTTTTTATACTGCCTTTCCATAAAATTCAATCACTTAAGAAGTACAACATCACAGAATAAAATTTTACATTTTCCCATGTTTACAAAACACCATAATTTTGCCAGAAATGCAATGCTTTCTTTTCCATCAGCAGGCAAACTCCACAGACCCATTATAATTCATTACGAGGAAAATAATTATGCTCAATGCAAAAAGAAACTCTATTAAGTAAAATGACGATTGAATTTTAAAAGTGTAAATTTTAGTATACTTAAACAGATGTGTACACAAATAATTTTTGGCAACATGATGAGTTGCCATATAAATACACCAGCAATCAGCAACACCAGGAATCATCCAATAACTATTTTGGCAACTTATTACACCCCCTAACGAATAATTTTTACAACTTTTCAGTGGGTGGGGATAATCAGAAATGACCTGAATTATTTTAATATTCATATTAAAACAATTTTCTACCTAACAATGATAAGGAATTATCTGAACCTTTTTATTATATGTATGATGAAAGGGGTTGTGTAATTTTAGCCTTGAATAAAGGATTTTCAATAGCTCCTCCTGTTCATATTCCCATTATGATATCCTCTTGAAACAGGAACACTAGAATCAGAATGCACCACATTTCCACCCTTGACCACTATTATTCATTGTATGATTTATCAGCGAAATCAATCCTGAAATAATTTTTGGTCACATTAATATACTTTAATATTAACTGAATTTGATTATGTAGAATACTCGATTTATCATTTAATGGTGGCTGAAAACTGCTAGAAGCATAAAATACTTAAAAGTCACAGGTTTGACAAAAAAAATGCAATCACATAATAAAGATCAAATGACCAAGAATCTATTTTCTGTTGAAG